ATTAATATTGTCGCATTAAAATAAAATAAAAAATGCAAAAATATCATTAGTTAATATTGGAATAAAAAGAGGAAGTGCATGTTAAATAATATCATATATGGTAAAATACATGCGTCACGGAAATAAAGAAAAGGTTTCCAGAAATGTTATTACATTAATATTTGTGAATATTAATAAAATATTAAAAAACGAAGTTAAATTGTACTAACAATACAAACGAAAGTTATAATAAAAACACATGCATAAGTTTTTAAATGTTCTGTTGTTCTTTATATTGATTGGTGTCAGAATTAGGAGAAACTAAATTCTTATAATTGTACAGTTCTAAGTGTGTAGAATCTACTTGGAAAGTGCGAGAGTCAACGTTATGAGCTTGGAAACTCGATCGTACTTTGCATACTGTGTCTAAACTGGTTACATCTATCTGATTCCTCTTTTTATTCTTCACATCTGTAACAATAGAAAATATTCTCTTTGCTTCGGCATTAGAATGTGGAAGTGATAAAACTGCATTTACTAAATTCTCTAAATTTGGAAAAAATAATTCGTTATTGAGTTTCTTTTCTTGAAAAATAGTCTTCCACACTTCATCAATTTCTAAATTAGCCAAAAGAGTTTTATTCGCGTCATCAAATACAATAGGTAACATTCTCCATTCATAGGCTAAAGACGTAATATCAGAAATTTAAAAATGTCTTGCTGTATTTTTCAAGTCTGGAAAGGTGAGTCTACTTTCTTGTTGCAAAGCTATATAGTAGGATCTAAAAATTTTAATTCTCGAAAAATGTGATCATTATAAGGCAATTGTTGCATCATTCCTTCTAATGCAGTTATATAAAAAGATAAGCAGGCAGTTTTTAGTTCTATTATAAATTCTAAAGATTCTGATTCTAACAAAGATTCACATTCTGGACCAACATAAATTGAATGTAAAGGTAAAAAAATTTTGAGGATTATAATAATGTCCATAGAAATGTTTTGTAAAGCTGTAGGCAGCAAGAAATTGTACCCCATCTACTTTATCAAATGCTCACTAGATTCAGCTAATTTATGAATTACACTTTGTCTTCCTTGAAATAAAGCATTAAATTCATTAAAAGATTTCAAGGTATATTTTAAAAATAACATATAAGCTCTAATTTTATTGTCATTTAAAGTATTAAAGATAGTTATTGCCGAGTTATTTTTATGGTTTCCAATTGTTTCCTGGTGGAAGTAATGTTGCAAAACTTCCCAGTTATCGAGAAGTCTAGTAACACACTTCTGCAAGACAAGCCATCTTGTACCTGATAATTTCAAGACTTTACGTGATTCGACTCCAAAAAAGTTCTGGAATTCACACAGGATAGCCGATCTTTTTGCACTTATCGATAAATATGTTGCAACTACGTGTAAAATATTTTCACATGCATCCGGCAATTTCGAACAAGCTTTGCTCGCAATAAGAGCTGAGGAATGGCAAATACAATTTAATACAACGAGGGCCGGTACCTCTTTTTTTAATCTTGTTGCAAAAGAATCTCGAACACCTATCATGACTGAAGCATTATCACATGCCATTCCTATAATGTTTGATAGAGGTATTCCTTTACTTTTTAAACAATTTTCAAATGCACAATATAATTTATCTACAGTACAATCTTTTGCATCTAAAGGAACTAATTCTAATAATTGAGTTATACATTTTTTAGTCTCTAATGATACATACTTTATTAAAATACAAAGCAACTTATCATTACAGATAGTTGTGCTTTCATCAATTAAAATGAAAAATTTCTGATTTTTTAAATTGATAATTAGTTTTTCTGTTTCACGTTTTCCTAAAACATTTTTTATTATTCGTGCGCATTTTTTTCTTGATAATTTGAGATCGTTAACTACCTGTGGATCAGAACAAGTTTTTTTTAGTAAAGGGACCATATGATCTACAATCTGGAAAGGTATATTATGTTCCGCGTAAAAAGCTGTTATTTGTATCTCGGCTGTTTTAACTTTTTTAACATGGTCTTCATGTGATGAAGAAGATGGTGTGATATTACGATTTGTCATAATCTTTATATGTGATTTAATTTTGGAATGTTTCATTAAATCTGATTTGCCACATAAAAGAACTTTATTGCAAGCCGAGCAGAGAGCTTTTTCATTAGTTTCATGTGGCATTAACCAATCCTTAAAAATATTTATACGTAACCAAGAGTCCTGGAAAATTTTCAGTCTTGATCTTCTTTTCTTTTCTTCGCCACTTGTTGACGGCTGATCTGGTAGATCCATTCTCTCTCCATTGTTAATTATACAAATATCTGAAATAATAAAATAACTAACTTTATTTGCATAATATAACGCATTGATTAAAAATTCCAAATTGTAAGATTCCCAACAATTAAAAAAAAAAGCAAAAATGTGCTAATAGGAATCTAATAGAAACAGTGCGATAAACAACGCGCAATAGAAACCTAGACAGCACACAATATTTATAAAATATTTACAAAATATTTATAAATATTTATAAGACTTATTTTAAATATTATATAAATATTTTTGTAGTTTGTTTTAGATTGCACAGATCATAAACGTTTTAAATATTATGAAATATTTATTGTAAATGTCATAGTAAATGCTGTGAAGATACTTAATGAGACATAATCCAAGTAAAAAATGCTTATTAGAAATGTTTATTTATATTTATCATAAATACTATTATTATTAATAGTAAAATATTTAGTCTATATTTTAATAATATTCTGAATAAAACTGTATGTAAAACATGTATGAAATATCTATATAACATTTCACAAAATGAATATTAATAAATATTTATCATAAATATTCTGTGCTATCTGGGAAATTATTGGGTACAGGAATAAGTTTCCGCCCATTGTAGAAAGATGTCGTTAGTAGCATTGCTTGTGTGTTTGATAGAACGGCAACACATGTGTTTGAAAGGTTTGTGTTCAAACTTTTGAGCCCAATAGTTGGCATTCATTCGAAGCGTAAAAAAGAGTAACTTTTTTTGCGTTGAAGATGTCGGAATTTATTCCAAAAAAGCAACATTTGCGGAAAGTCTTACTCCATTATTTTATTTTAAGGAAAAGTGCTGCAGAATCGCATCGTTTGCTCGTAGATGTTTACGGTGAGCATGCTCCATCGAAAACCAGTTGTAAAGAATGGTTTCAGCGATTCAACAGTGGTGATTTTGACGTGCATGACAAAGAACGCGAAGGTGCACCGAAAAAATTTGAAGATGCAGAATTACAAGCATTACTCGAAGAAGATTCACGTTTATTGCTCGATATATAGGTTGTCAAAAGAGTAAATGTTGATAGATCCACTGTTGGAAAACGTCTACACGCAATGGGAATGGTGCAAAAAGAAGGAAATTGGGTGCCATACAAATTGAAAGAGAG